TATCTGCTTACCATGTAAAGAAGTACTTAATCAAAAGCCTATAAATAAAGCAGGACGGTTTAATTAAGAACCAACCACATTCTAGTTCACACATACATTCTGGCATGCTGAAAAACAGCGACTGCTTTGGTAAACGATCTCGAGTAATCTTCAGGCACTTGGCTGCCCTTCTCAAACTTTAACACGGAGAGAACCTGAAAATATATCACATTTAGAAATGGATGCTTAGTAAAGAGGCTATGGAGTATCAATCTACTACTTGAAAGCCTGCAACAAATTACACTGTTGCAGAGATAAAGCTATTATTTTTGAAGGAATAAAAGATAGATATGCTTACACGATCTAAGTTTCGATACTTGCAGACAAAATTATAAGCTTTTACAATTCCAATCCCCGGGATGGATGGAAGAAAATCACAACCAGCTAGAACACACATGCCTGAGAAAAACTCAGCAGTCTAAGTTCATAAGGAGATAAGATGATCAAAAGATAATCTAGCTAGTTGGATGTAGAATATGCAAGTCACCTGCAAACAAATCTTTACTGAAATTTATGAAAGACGGCTTCCCATCACCAGACTTTAAAACTTTGTCCAGCAAAACCTCTTCACCGTTGCCATAACGGTCCATTTTAAAGACAACCTGCACCCCAGCAAATAAAAATTCTGCAAAACATTAAATATTATAGAAAGGAATTCCTAGCTATTAAGAGAGCAGTAAACCTCCAATCAGAATTTTCGAGAAGTTCTTACAGCGGGGCAACCATAGGCCAGTAAGTCACTATCCTCTGATATAACTGCAGCAATTCCTCCTTTTTCTGCTTCAAGGCTAGACATATATGCTAACTGTGCATCAGCCTCATAAGGAGCCACCACAAATTCAATATTATCTGATCTCAAAATCTGTACAGGTAATCATTGGTACCATCAAACTTGTGCAGTCTGAATGATGTATACTGCTTAGAAAATGAGTGAAAATAGGGATTAAGTACCTGAATTAATTGATGTGCCATCAGTGGAGTGATGCTGATTGCCCTCTGCATATCAAAATTTAGGGGTCAAGAGTATTGAGAATATAACATATAAACATAAATGTGCAATCTCTATCTATCAACTTAGCTTTTCAATTGAGAACTTGAGATGGAGCACATGCTTTAATTTAGTATCAGAGTCAATATCATACCAAATGTTACAAACATAAATATGCAATCCAACTATAAGCTTAGACATGTTTCAATTAAGATAAATGCACAGTATCCTTCTAAATGATACAGATCCCATAGAATATAGCAATGTATCCCCAGAAATGCCAAAATGTGTATTTGGAAGATGTTAACATGGTAAATGTTTCCTTTTCAAGTATAAATTACATTTATCAGGAAAAACAAAGGAACACTTTAACCAAGTAGTCCAAGATTGATATGACACTTTTACATTTCTGGTGTTAGTGATTGACTAAGGCCTATTTGGTAACATAATTAGCTTATCAGTCATTTTTTGCTTATTTGATTACTATTAGCTACTTGACTTGGTTAAACAATCAATATAAGTGTTTGGATAATTAGCTTTTTGTAAAAGCGTATTGCTTCAAAATGCTAAAAATAAAAAAACAACTAAAAGCCTTTCGATTAGCTTTTTGA